TTTTCAATCGGATTCTTATTAAATGTCCGATGACTTCGGCATCATCATGTTCGTGTGTATTACAATTCAAGCATACAGCCATGAGGAGATCTTGAGCAGGTTTGGTTAACTGAAAACAATTATATACTGTCATTTATTCAGTGACAGGTCAGAATGTGCACCACGTGTATATTTATGATGTGTCACATTTTTATCGCTCTAAATATACATGTGAATGTCAATCAAAACTACCATGTTTGAAGGCATGTCTTGGAGATTTAAAATAACAAACAAAATGAGTGGATTAGGAATCCAACATATTCCCATCTTCCCAGAAATAAAATTTTGCTTTGGCCACAATGCAGTTATACATGTACATTTTGGTTTTGGACCAATAATGGATGCCATACAGACGAGATGAAACTCACACTATCATGTCATGCCTGAACTGAAGCTGTACAATAGTCTGATGAGAAAAGGGTGCATTAAGATGGTGTTGACTAAAATAAACTCAAATTTAAATTGTTGGGATTAAATAATATGACCTTTGCTGACCTTTGGGTTTTGTAGCCACATTTCTAGCCTCATCGCAGCCATCTGTCTGATTTCAGGAATACCGCAAGTGGTGGTCAGTAATTTTAACATATTTCTTGACCCTGTATCAATCGATTGACGTCTTGTTAAATGTTCCTTTAATATATCAACAACATCACTTGCCAAACTTTCTTGTATTATGGTATATCTAAAAAAAAATAAAACATTCTCTGTTTTCATCCGTGAAAATTTATAGCTCAGAACAATAATCTTTCTCCTCTGTATCAATTGGACCATAATAGGCAAATCTGATGGTTCAGTATCAAGTGATATTCATGTCATACAAGTTGTATTCATATTCGTAATTAATCTCTCCACTTGGTCATTGAAAAATAATGAATCCAGAAATTTTTTATTTATATTTGTTAAATGAGTAGGGGTCGATCAAAAAGTTGAAAGTTGAGATGAACCATATACAACAATACAGTGCCGTACTTGCATACAATTTTTTTAAGCGCCTCGATCACTTTGCGATCCCAGTACAAATCTATTTTGACAGAGGTCAAGTTTGGTACATGATGCAATGCAACATCATTGACAATGCAAAAAACAATATTGATGTGAAGCGACCAGTAGCTGTAGGCGAACACATTAAACGAGGACGCGACAATGAAGTGAAAAATCTGAGATGCTATACAAGTACTGCACCGTATGTGTTACTGTGTCGTAATACCTTGGGGATATTTCTATCTCAAGGTCGGGATCTTTATCAATGAGAGTGTCTCCAGATTCCGATGTAACTTCACTTTCTTCATCTCCACTCTGAGCAGGACTGGCACCTACAACATCACAAGACATATTGCATATGTTTATGACCTTGAGTTGACCTTGTGACCTCGATGTGACCTTCTGTGCGCGCTAGGGTATGTGTGCTGAGCAAAAACTACAATGATACCTTAGTGGCAATATTCAGGGTTGGAATTCAATGTTTGACACCCATGGGTATACATACATTTATCTTATTAGCAACTATCATATCCATGGTTTTCTATTGTTTTAGCTGCGGTAATCTTTCACACACCATGTGACAACTTTTATTTTTTTACTCCGGTGACATTTTTTTACCCAGGGTCAAAAAATAACAATGTCATGCAGAGTGCATGAACAGTATTGATATCGACAATGAAACTAATCTTCTGAAACAAGATATCTTACCTGTTTTTGACAAAGAAACAACATTAAAAGTGGATTTATTGAGGTGTCAACTTGTTTACGTTCTGTTGCAACAATCTCAGGTGTTTCACTAATGTGGATACTCTAATTATTTGTGCATTCAAAATTTAACATACAGATTCAAACTCACTCAGTACTTTGCTAAAAATCAACATTTGCTAGTTTGAGATCTATTTTGAACCAATTAAACAAATCAAATCCCCACATCAAAGTTGAGTATTCCACAATAAATATTGCACATCTTTAAGTATTCATACAGTGTCACAAAACTCGTACTTTTTTTTTTCTTCGTCCAATTTGTCATGATCAGTTTTGTGATTTCCTTACCAAAACAGTTTATAATAAGATCATTTGAGCCTCAGTAATAACGTTTAATAGACCATTTTCCGTTCACTGCGAGAATCACGCGTTATGCGTGAAATCGAACGTAAAAACAGGACAAACAAAGGTTATAGCGTCGTAGTGGCATCAAACATCATGTGGGAATTGACAAACGCGAAAGTATTTTGGGGGACATTTCCATGCTTAATTATGTGCTGTCCACATTTGTTGATAGGCAATTTCGATTAAGTAAGGGTATTCAAAAGCAATATTCCTCTGTCGAAGATCGGCTGGTCGATGTGAGATACGAAATAAAGAAATTGGAGTTAAAAATCAAATCGTTCGAATTTTGCGGCAGACGTTCGACGCGCGTCTTTCATGCAATTCGTGAGATCTCGCAATTGAATGGAAAACCACCTATTATCAAACACTGTTTCTTGCAATACAACACATTATCTCTAGGGGGGGGGGGCTATTAAGAAATAAATTTTAACAAATAATAAAGTACGTGTATCTTTGAGTCATAATAGTCAAACTGACATAATATTTGGATAGTTTGAATTCTCGTGCAAATCCATGTGACTAAATTTTCACAAATAACATCACAGAATCTCGATGAGATGTCTTATAATACAAATAGCTGTAACTATCAATCATTTTACTTCTATTTTCATTTTTAATAAAAACAATTCCAATTTGTAGTGTCAAAACAAGGACACAGAAAGCATATTATTTGCAATTGACAAAAACTGACCACAGTGTTGCGTCCAGGTCTCAAAGAGGGTGCCATCTATTGAAATCCAATTTTGTCAACCCAACCTTAGCGTTCATTATAAAATGTTAAATATGTCGCCACTTTGAGAGGCAAAGTATCTTTCTGACGGCCTCTAACTGATCATTTGTGTATCACTTTCCATAATAGTATGCATCATGTGTCATATTTTGTTATGGTCTCCACCACTTGACCGATTTCAACAAAATAATATTTGACAGTATGATGATTAATTTTTCACATCACATATTAGTATTTGACTTAAGGGTCACTTTACTCATGAAACTGTGTCTAAAACAATATTTTGGTAAGATTAGGTGATCTTTATGTGGTTATATTTAAACAACAAATTTTCAAAAAAGACAATTACCTGCTGTCAAGTCTGTTGTACTGCTATAACGTAGACCTTCCTTCCCATACATGGAGTCACCCTTCCTTGGTAACTTAGTGGCAAATGCAGTCTGTAGGTTTTCCACAAAGTCACCACATTTAGGATGGTCAACCCAAACTCGCTCACCTAGGGAGTCTTCAATGTACACCTAATTTTATCAAA